TTTATGTAAATATCAATCATATTTCTTATAAAGTTGCTAATGTAACTGGTTAGCTTAAATCACAAATTCATCACGGGACCTTACCTCCCTCTCTCTCATCTTGTTTTACTGCTTCCCTGTCTCTGCTTCGTGTGAAGAATTTCCTGATATCCAGTAATTTTCAGTTAGTAGCCTATAAATCATGTGGTTTCACTGGGAAAATATTAAAATTGACAGGTAAGAAACGTTACCAGAACTAACAATGTGTCGCGACCGCACAGTGTCCCATCCAACTTAGTTGAGAGCAGCGTGTTAGTTTACCTGTAGTTCATGCAGTGACATGCGCTGACGTGGGGGCGCTAATACATCCTCATTTTGGAATAGAAATATACGTCTCCTCCCGTTGGAATTATTTTAATTGATGCATTAAAAAATGTATTACTGTTGCAAATATTCATGAGATTTATACTGGGGCACAGCTCATTTATACCGGGGCACGTGCCCCAGTAAATGGGGTCTGGCAACGCCGATGTGACCAGTTACACCATTGGGTTTGGCTACATAATACTGATTAGTAATTTCTTTTTTTCTCAGGATACTTGAACTGAATTTTTGAATGAATTTTTGGTCTCAGACAGCCATGGACACTTAGACCGTACTATACATGGCCCCAGACTGCGACGATATGGGAGCCAATCATTAAACGGGTCAGTGGACCAAGTGATGGTTGTAGCAGAGATGAACATCTGCAGATCACAGCTTACACCACAGGACCAACCAACCAAAGCCAAGTTAAGAGAAGTCCTGATGTTGAGACCTGACAATAATGACACAGAGCCAAGAGAGAATGACTGAGGGTGATGTAATGAAAGCATCTCAGAGGGATCTGACTCACGCACTAAGCGTCCACTACCAATGTTTTTGTGGGTTTTGGACAGGGTTTCCTAACCCTAGTCCTTAGCGCCTAAAATCCTTATTTTTCCTAATGTCTTACACTACCGTTGAAAAGTTTGGGGTCACCCAAACAATTTTGTGTTTTCCTGAAAAGTCACACTTATTCACCACCATACTTTGGGAAATTAATAGAAAATAGAGTCAAGACATTGACAAGGTTAGAAATAACGATTTGTATTTGAAATAACATTTTTTTTACATCAAACTTTGCTTTCGTCAAAGAATCCTCCATTTGCAGCAATTACAGCATTGCAGACCTTTGGCATTCTAGCTGTTAATTTGTTGAGGTAATCTGGAGAAATTGCACCCCACGCTTCCACAAGCAGCTCCCACCAATTGGATTGGTTGGATGGACACTTCTTGCGTACCATACGGTCAAGCTGCTCCCACAACAGCTCAATGGGGTTCAGATCTGGTGACTGC